GGAAGGAGTAATTTTACCTGAATTCTACTGTATAAATCATGGGTCTCCTGACTAACAGAAGTTTAAGTAATCTTAATTTAAAAGTGTACCATCCCTTTTCCCTAAAACTGTATGACAGTTGGGCTTAGCAGGGTCAGAGTTAAGCATGTTGATTGTCCGTCCAGATGGTGTTTTTATACCAAGTCTGCCCAAGGTCAGGGGAACATCACGGGCCATCATAACAAACCCTGGAAATACAAGATGCTTCAAATGTAATGGACTGACCTGTTAGCATTCTGTTTGTTTCCTTTTGTAGATTGCTAATAACAACAGTGTCTAAATTATTTGAGATAACCTTTGATAGGGTAACTGTAAGATTTATGAGTTGTGTCTGGTTACAGTGGTTAGTGACATGATTAAGAAGCTATGGCATACTGGGGTATTGGGGTACATGTCAGTTTAATTTGATTTTCAAGTCACAAGATTGGAAAACAAAACTGGATGCTTCCTGTGATATTGCTTGTGTTTTATGTCATGATCTCATGATGTTGAGAGTGACATGTGGTAAAGGTTTGACAGGTTTAAAGGATTGTTTTATCTCTCTAGCTGACCTTAGGCTTTCATTCCTCAGAAACAGATAATCTTCTCTTAACTAGGACACTGAACAATATTGGGGAAAATATTGCCATATTAAGTTAACAGTGAGATATGGTGAGATGTAAAGGATCATAGTATATCCATCTGGACCAGACCTAGCTATAAGATTAGACCTTTCAACCAAATCTAGACATCAGCTGTGTTTGTATTGCATGTTTCTGGCTGTGGATGAACACAGGAGAGACAGGTATACACCACACAGTACGCCAGTGTTTACATTCAAATCAAACGGAACTGTAGGCACAAGTCTTATGAAAGCAGTGCAGATGACACAAGACATAGCTCAGAGTCAACCCAATCAAGATACCTGCCAAGATATTGAGACTCTTTCCAATGGAGTCACAGCGGTGCTGTGGTTTGTTTGGTATCATTCCTGGCAGGAATGTTGCATAGTTGTGGCTGGATCGGAGTAGACTCTACTGTAGATCATGTATCTGTTTACACATCAGAAATGAAACCTGGGAATTAACATCCAAGCTTCTGACACTTCAGCCTCACTGTTAATTGACATACAGGCCTACCTCACCCCAAGGCACATAGTACTGAACTTGATACCTTTTATTAAAGAAAACTTGGTGTTGACTTAGAAATAGACTGGTTTTCTCCCTCTTTTTAGAATTTTAAGGTTACAAGGTTGTTTTGTCTGTTGACAAGCCTTATAAGGATGTAAACCTCAGCCCTGCTGCCTAACCCTATGACCAAATGGTAGCCGAACAGCTACATTTGTACTTCAGTTTGCTATAAGGATGTAGTGTTGCATTTGTTTCTCTTTACAATACACTTGTATTGTCAGGTTACTTACTATTATAAAATATAGTGTTCTAATCAAAGTAAAGATAAGACTAAAAGTCACTTATAAGATTGACAAGGATGCTTTTATTCTGAAACAGGTACAGGTGTTAGTTTTCAGGGTCATGGTAAGTGTAACCTACACCATGGAATCATCAGTTCATTCATCAGACAGTTGTTTCCATACCAACTAGCTATATGCTTAAGCACTTGGGTCTTTGACTGAGTTTTCCCACCCAAAACCCTTTGTGACTTCCCATGTCTGCGTGGACAGAGTAAACTGTTTGTTCTGGGACTAACTGTAGCCGTGTTTTGTCCCGCGCAGGTCACGGCTCAGCTCCGTGCTCCAGAGCCTGGAGCGCCAAATCGTGACCAAAACCTACGACGTCGAGCAAGTCCGCTACCTGACCTCCAAGGTGCTCCACTTCGTCCAGACACAAGGTAAGTTGTTACACCTGTCTCACAGGTGTGAACTATCTGCCATACAGGTGCATCATACCTAACACACCTTCAACTTGAGTTGACATTCCATCTATGCTTTACCTGTTGGTATGTTGGAATATCTAGTTTCAGTGTCAACTGCATCTAAATAAATTTTGGCAGTATCCTACTGTCTTCTTCCTGAGTGTTCGGCAATATCACAATTTTATTTAATCTTGTTTAATCCTTTTGCTTTCTTTCACTAACTCCTCTTGTCTTTCATCCGGTTTTGTTTGTTTCCCCCTCTTCCTTTCACATTTGTATGTCTGCCTTGTACATTTGTCAACAAGTTTGCTATTGAAACCCCATTAGTTTTACACCCCTCTAGAGAGGTTGCAGTTACCCACAGGTGATGAAAAGTAGAAACGAGATCTGTCTGGGGTTTTCCTGGTTATTGTGTGTTTTGGAGTCATTCCTCAACACTTCCATAAAAAGGTTTCCCAGGGTGCAGTTTTAACCTTCTCCCTGCTCCTAGATAACTTTAGCCAAATGGCTATTTCAGTGTGCTAAAGGTTAAATCTTACAAGAAGTAAGATTAGTTTTAAAATTGATTATCTTATTCAACTTCCTTGCAAATTGAGATTGAGGTATATGGTACAAAGAAGACTAGAGCATAGACATTGTACCTATTAGAAGGCTAAAGTAGAAAGGTTGCTGGTATGAAAATGTACATGTATCATTTAATGTATTAGTAGATAGTTAGACTTTCTAAAATTGTAAAGCACAGATTTCAAATTACTCTTAACAAGTGAATATCAGTACCAACATACAGATTAAGAAACTTATCTTGACAGTTAACATTACGTCATGTACTTTTCAAACTCCAACAGTCTTGCTTTCTTTGCCCTCAGCCGTTGCCATTAGCCTAGAAATACAAGTGTCTTTGGTGCGTGACTCCCAGTGATTTCACAGTTCTTCAGACTAAACAGTATGGCCTTAGGACTTACCATTGCCATGACAGGCTGCAATAATAAGGAATTTTCTCTTTCTCTTATAGTAAGTTATACTAGAGTTTTAGTGTGACAATATTCACAATACCTGAGATGCAGCCTTTGCTGTGTGTTAGGTATCATAAAGGAAGGGTCCATCGTGAAAATGAATGCCTACTGACTGTTCAGGATAAAACATGAAGACAGGAAGTTCTGCTGCAGTACCAAGGAGAGCCATCAGGAGGCCCAATACTTAAGTTATTGCTGGTAACATACACAATGTAAACAGACAGACAGACACACCAGAAACAATACTTCTGTTTTTCCCTGAGTTGATAAATGAAGAGAAAAAGTAGAAATTGATTGCAAATGTTTTTGGAACCTAGACAGTCTCTGTGAGAGGTTCCTGTGTTTGGTCCCTCCTGGCTCTATCTGGCAGTAATTGGACAATTTGTAGGACCTGATTTGTTTGAAGAAGGGACTACTGCCTGGTGGGGAGACAAGCCTCAGAGTAATTGGATGCAAAATGGATGCAGTTGGAACAGTTGTGATTTATTAGATTTGCTGTCAGGAGGACGACAGGAAGCTGTTGCCATTGTTAACAAATAAGTGTATTTAAGAAAAAAAAACTTACTAACTACAGTCAAACCTGTACAAGTGACCAACTCTATATATAAGGACCACCTGCTCACTGTTTGGTCCTTCATACAATTCTTCCCCTTGACACAAACATGAAGACTACCAACAACCTGGTCCTAGATTTTATTGGTCAGAAGTTAGAACAGACTTAGAGTGTGATGAAATCTATCCTAGGAAGGATAGTACCCAGGCTAACGTCAGTAACGGACTAGGCAAATACTAAAGATATATACTTAGATCTCTAAAGATAATGCATGTCTCAACTAATAGAGATGTCAGGATCAAGCATCTCTGTGAGGATTACATGTATGAGCCTCCTAGTGTGAGGTAAGAACTTAAGAGATGAGGCACAGACATCTCTGGTAATGGAGACACTTTTGAGATGCTGCCAGTTGGCACTGGGCATGGATGTTCTTGAAACACCCAGCTGCAGTCCTAGTCTCTCCCTGCGCTCTTTGGCCACATCAGCTATCAATAAAGCTAAGAACTTGATCTTTCCAAGGGAGGGAGACTGGTCCACAAATTGACCCCATTTCATTTGCAGGGAGAGAAGCTTTTTATTGTGTCTGTTGTCACTGCTGCAGTCTGGAACTAATTCTCCCACTTGTTTCTCAACTATGAAGGTCGACACCCCTAACCCAGCCATAACAGTTGACTGGGCATGTGAAGGCTTGGCTTAGTAATTGTCTACAGATTGAAGGGAAATGAAAAAAGCCACTGGCAAATGGAAAATGATGTGTTCTGGTCTTCAGGTTTATTTCGATAGTTGAGCCCATTAAGGAATGGTAAGGTTAAACTATGGGTTCCTCAAGGGCATTTTTGCTCAATTTCATAACCACAGCATGGGAGTACAAAACCTGGAAAAAGAGAGGGGTCCAGGGTACGGTACACCAAAGTAGCCCTAGGCCTTTGGCTACCAATTCCATTTTTTAGACAGTTAGGAAGCAGCCTGCGAGATAATATTAGACTGACACTGACTTTCAGGTTGTAAAATATTTGGTATGAAATATGCTTGCTAATTTATCATGAAACTCTAATTCAACATGTCATGTTGTGGCCTTGTAACCCAGGGCTATAGTGAATAGTTTCTTTATTGATACAGCCTCCATGTCCTGTAAGACTTTTGACACTGGCTGATGACTGAAGTAATGACTTTCCCAGATGGACAGGTCAGCACAGTGTTATCAGCCTAGGGGAGAAATGAAGTCCACACTGTTCCATTTCCCCTGCCTGTCACCAATAGGTTATCCCCATCTACCCTGGGGAAGCACATTAACAGGTGGAAGTCCTTTAAATTTCAGGCCACATATCCTTACTTTCCAGTTTCAAAACCCACTATTTGAGTAATCTATCTAATTCTTGGTCACTCATCATCAGTCACTCAATCAGTCAATGTTTGCAGCCTCTGGTGCAAAAGAGGCATTATGAAAAGTATTTGATACCTGAGCACATTTCAACAACATTAGTTCTAATGTTCAGACTGAAGAAGAAGGCCATACATATTTAGACGT